TCGATTTCTGCCTGCCCCGGAGGTGATCCACATGGTGCGGCAGACCTCTCCTGAGCCACCCGCTGCTCCCCTCAGCAATGTACTTCGTCGATCTGCCTGTTCTGCTCCCCACTCTGTCTCTGGTGAATCCTCTCACCCTCCGCATCTCTGGCCTGTATTCTGTATGAATAAATAAATCTTTTTTTAAAAAAAAGTAATAATAAGTTCACATTGCTCTATCTTCTCTAGCAGTGGGACAGCTGCTGTTGATGAATGCTGTAATTGGTTCCGTAAGAGAATTGAGGAATTGAATTCAGAGAAGTGTCAAGTCATGAACTATCATCAGGAACAGGTTTTATATATTTTTGAACTGTTATTTACCTTGGAGTCTTAATACTGTTTTGTTGTTGCTGTTACTAACATAATTTAATATTTTTTAGGCAATAAATTGTCTTTTGGGAAATGTGTTCTATGAACGACTGGCTGGCCATGGTCCTAAACTAGGACCTGTCACTAGAAAATATCCTTTAGTTACCAGGTATTCCATTTTTGTTTTCTTCTCATGAAAGGTTAAAATTTGAAAATTGTATTTAATTTTTCAAATTAACATAAATGTTCCTTTAATTTGCAACTTCAACACATTTATTAAATTGAAATGAAACTTTTATTAATTAGTATTAATTTTGTTAGGCAATTCTTTAGTTTGAGAAATTGCTCAGTATGAACAAATGTATATTATTTGCTAATAATTTTCTGCAGACTTATTAATAAATATGTTAGTCAAATTGAGCAAGTATTTATATTTAGATCCTTTTTAAATAAGTACATTATAGATTAGATATTGAGTGTATGAAAGCCTTTGTAAAGGCCTTGTAATTAATAATTTTTAAGATTTTATAATTATTATTTAAAATATCTAACTGGATATACTCTAAGCTAACTTTCAGATTCTATTAGATTTACTCAAAAAGTCTGCTGATGATTTTTCACCTATATTAAGGTTCATTTACTACTAGTGAAGTCAAATTAACTTTATGCACTCTTTTGATTATGTAGGAGGTTTAATTTTAATATTGCTAATTCAAATTCTTCCAAGGAATTAGTCTAAACGTATTTAATGTTTAATGGTGTCTTCATAGGTATTTTACTTTCCCGTTTGAAGAAATGACCCTTTCTGCAGAAGAATCTTTGATTCATCTCCCAGATAAAGCTTGTTTTCTGATGGCGCATAATGGATGGGTAATGGGAGATGATCCTCTTCGAAACTTTGCTGAGCCAGGTACATCACTTTAGTGACCTTTTCCATGGATAGGGAAAGAAAGCTTGTTATTGAGTTCCAAATACAAACTGTTCATTTTTTACACCAGCAAGGCTGTTCATTTTTAAGCTGTTTCATCAGAGTTGCATACAGTGTGAGAGGAGAGACTGAGAAAAGAATGGGGTTCTTCTCCCTTCCCTTCCTTTCTTTTCCTATCCCTGTGTCTTCAGACAGGAAAGCTTTTAAGACCTACTTGATTTGGTGTCTTTGCATAAGATTTTACTTGTGCAAAATTCTACTTTATTGCATTTTTTAAAAAAGATGTCTGAAACCACTACAATTATAGTTATATTGTCATGAGAGGGATTTTCACTCATTGACCAGAGGAATATTAAGATACTTAAATATAGTTAAATTAGAAATTGTTTTTAGGTTCCCCTTCCTTACTCCCAGCATCTTATTTTTCTACCAATATTTCATTGCCAGGAAGGATTTATCACAGGGCCCATCAGTGTATTTTTCAGCAATTCAGTATTGGGTATCTGTTTTAACGATGTCACATTTACAAAAATCCAATTTTTCTGAAGGTTAAGTATCTTTGCTTCTCTCATTTCTCAGAACTAAAAGAAAAATCAGTCTGCACCATGCCATGGATTTAATGTAATCTTTTGCCAAAAATGGTAGATGATGGAGATGGAGTTTTTGCATGATTTTTGTCTAACTGTAACTTTAAAGACCCTGCAATATGTTACTGTTAATGTTTTCCTTTAAGAAGCAATTTGAATTTTTGACATTTGGCACACATTTTTAGAAGTCTTATTAACTAAATTATTAGCAAAATAGAGAAGTGACAAATAAATATTGGTTTTTTTAAAAAAAAATCCATTCCGTAGTTATAATCATTATATGATTTGTAGTAGAAATGGTTAGTGTGATTTTAAAAAGTAATATTTCATTGAGGTAATTGTTTCATTTTATTTCTTGAACCACTGAAAGCAAGCCCTTTTCTTAACAGGTTCAGATGTTTATCTAAGGAGAGAACTTATTTGCTGGGGAGACAGCGTTAAGTTACGTTATGGGAATAAACCAGAGGATTGTCCTTACCTCTGGGCACATATGAAAAAATACACTGAAATAACTGCGACTTATTTCCAGGGAGTACGCTTGGACAACTGCCACTCAACACCTCTGCATGTCGCCGAGGTACAGGAAACAATTCACCTCTATTAAGAAATTCGTTATTTTTCCACGACTTTCTTTAAATTGGATATACAGATACATGTTTCCTTTTGCTAGTTGAATAACAGAATTAATTTGGTGGTAGCACTTAAATTTGCATAATTCTGCAATCTTTCAGTGCAGTGGTTATGAAATACTGGGTTGTGAAGGGTTTAACAAGTAATTCAGTTTAGGGAAGTAGATCATACTGTCTCTGAAGTAAATTATATTGACGTATATTAAAATACTGTTCATAGTTTACTATTTTAAAGAATTAACATTCTCAACATTTTAATAATATATAGATATTAAAGTCTAATTCTTATAATTTTTTAGATTGCTTTCAGTATGTTAGTAGCCACTGTTAGGTTGAGTAACTTACACATGTTTAAATGATTATATTTAAACACTAACAGTACAGCACATTAGAACTAATTTTAGCCTCACTGATTCAATTTTTAACTTATTAAAATATAAGTTTAAATACTGAGATTATCTGTCCCTTTTTGGGTTTTTAACAATAACTTTGATACAATGCCAGAATTTATAGCATTACCTTCTACCTAATACAACTTTGTAAAGACAATTTTTATAACTTTCTAGTGATGAAAGTATTCTTTGGAACTTTACCTTATTAGAAAATATTTATTTTTGTAAATTTAAATCAGGATTATAATATATATATGTATTTCAAGTCTTAATGATAAGAAATGTACTTGATTTGGAAGAATATAATGAACATTAATCAAGATGACAGAACATCTTCAGCTCCAAAAAAATGGCAGAGGTTTTTCTTTTATTTTAAGTTGTGACTTTAGCACAACTTAAAATAAAAGAAAATATTACATTATAGCAAACAGAATACTAAAACTTAAATTGCTTAACTTTGTTATCAGGTCTTCTAGAATCCTACTTTGGGCAATAGAATTTGAACTATTTTTCTAGCTTTTGTGCAAGCATTAGGTTAAAAATATTTTGTGAACTGACCTGATTCTGATAAGAGTTTATTATAATCTGGAGGGAAACCTGGCTTCAGTCTAGTCAATCAGACATAATCTTTTCTGTAGCTAAATAATTCACAGGCATGGAATTTATCAAGAACGGCTTAGCTAACTGCCTGGAAGTTAGTAGTCTGATTATAGAGATTAAAAACAAGCTCATAAAGTAATGAGAAAGCCTAGAAGAATAGGAGTGTTATGTTTTATATTTTTTAATGTAACATTAACATTTTTCTTCTCTTCCCCTTTTTTTCCTTTGTATGTATATGTTGGCAATTTCTAATTTTGCTTTTTTAACTGTGCTGTTTGCTATACATTCTCTTGTTTTCTGTATATACTGGTCTGTTTTATGTTTTCTTACATATGTACAATTTTCTTACACATGTATAATTTATGTGGAATTTCTTCTTGAACTTCCAATTTGTCTTGCTACATATTTTCCCATGTCAAATCCATGCCTAGTCTTGCCTCCTCTCCTTCCCCCCACCTTGCTTTTCTCTTTCTGTTGCATTTGTGACTGTGCTTTTTGCAGTACATGTTAGATGCTGCTAGGAAATTGCAACCCAATTTATATGTAGTAGCTGAACTGTTCACAGGAAGCGAAGACCTGGACAATATCTTTGTTACTAGACTGGGCATTAGTTCCTTAATAAGAGGTAGGTTTGTTGAAATGATTTTCCCATCTAAACTTTAGCCTTTGTTTAAATATAATGAATTTTATAGTTTTATATATAATATTTAATAATTTCAACATAGTTGATATTCTGTGAATATTCCACACAAAATTTTCTCATATGACAGCCTTTCAATAGTAAAACTTTCCATTCTGGTGTGGATAATAAATCTCATTTTAAATTAAGATACCAATGAGACAAATTGATAACTCACAAACGAAACAATTTTTTTTTAAGATTTATTTATTTATGCATACAGAAATGGGGTACAGGCCAGAGGTGCAGGGGCGGTGAGAGGATTCACCAGAGACAGAGTGGGGAGCAGAACAGGCAGACTGACAAAGTACACTGCTGAGGGGAGCAGCGGGCAGGTCAGGAGAGGTCTGCCGCGCCATGTGGATCATCTCTGGGGCGGGGATCAAACTCATGCCGAAATGGCTTTAGCTTCTTAGTGCTATGCTTTAACCAACTGCACCCCCAGGGATGGCCCCAAAACAATTTTTTGGTTGAAAACAAATTTTTTTAATTCCCTACCTGCATATATGATATAATCTTTAGATTTTTTCCCCCATAGCCTAATAGACAACATATGTCTCCCTTTACCCTTCTGAGCTATTTCTCTGGATAGCTTCTAGAGAAGACTTCCTTGTCACTTAAACAACAGACATTTGCTTAAATAACTAAAACAGTTTTTATTTTTGATATTTATGTAGTCAATCACAATAAGAAATTTCACCTCTTCTCCAACATTAATAATAAAGATTATTAATATATTTTGTAATGTTTTGTAGAGGCAATGAGTGCTTATAATAGTCACGAAGAAGGCAGATTGGTTTACCGCTATGGAGGAGAACCTGTTGGATCTTTTGTCCAGCCTTGTCTCAGGCCTCTAATTCCAGCTATTGCACATGCCCTGTTTATGGATATTACCCATGATAATGAGTGTCCTATTGTGGTAAGCATCTAATCTGTTTCTGCTTATTTGACATCTTTGAAATACTATACATATACTTCAAAGTAGTACCTTTGACTTGTAAGTGATTGTGGCACATAGTTTTTAGAATGTTTAGTTACTTGTTTGAAAGCAAATTAATGTAGCCTATAGAACATATCTATATAATTACCCTCTACCCTCATTCAACCCTGGGATGGCACTTTGCATTTGAAACAAAATAAGCTTTTCTTGTTGTTGTTTTCTAGCATAGATCAGCATATGATGCACTCCCAAGTGCCACCGTTGTTTCTATGGCGTGTTGTGCTAGCGGAAGTACTAAAGGCTACGATGAGTTAGTGCCTCATCAGGTCTGTTTGTGTTGTTGTTTTTTTTTTTTTAACCCAAATGGCTGACTTTGAACATTTTTACCAGAAGGTATTCTTATAATGAAAATGTGTCCATAACCAAGTTTTAATTTTGCTCAGATTTCAGTGGTTTCTGAAGAACGCTTTTATACTAAGTGGAATCCTAGAGCTTCACCATCAAATACAGGAGAAGTTAACTTCCAGAGTGGCATTATTGCAGCCAGGTGTGCTATCAATAAACTTCACCAAGAGCTTGGAGCCAAGGGTTTTATTCAGGCAAGAAACCAAATTGTTTAAATTTCTTTCTTAAGATTCAATTGCAGAGTAAGTCTTTCCAGTTGGAACGCTGTTTTCTTTCTGTTTCTCAGGTGTATGTTGATCAGGTGGATGAAGACATAGTGGCAGTGACAAGACACTCACCCAGTATCCATCAGTCTGTGGTGGCTGTGGCTAGAACTGCTTTCAGGAATCCCAAGACTTCATTTTACCCCAAGGAAGTGCCTCAAATGTGCATCCCTGGTAATGTGATCTAAAAAGAACTAAGATTATACTATATTGTTATATGAAATGATACAGTCATAGTAAATTGGTTTCTACAAAAACAATTGTATTTTGTATTTTATAACACAGTGCAAGTCTAAATTAAGCAGAAAAAAATTATAAATTTTATAACTTATTTTTACTCTACAGAAGTATTACAAAATGAGAAATAATTTTGTTTTTATCTTCATACATCCCTTTCCCAATCTTAATATATTCCCCTTCTGAAAATTTCCTTCTTACCAAGAACAATGTTTGTGAATTTGTGTATGCATTGACATACATACACACACATATAAGCCAAATTTCAAAAAACTTAATATTTAAGACTCTTCACAATCCATCCTCATCTCTCCCTGTATCACTCCGCTGTTTCACTCAACTAGATATTTTTGCTGTTCTTCAGGTAGTTTTACTTACACCTACATATAGATCCTCTGTATCTTTCAAAAAGTAAAATTTTACCTACTTGTCTAAGTACTCAGTGATCTCTCCTCTGAATATATAGCAATTATAGTTTAAATCATTCCTTAATGATTAAATATATCCCAAAGGTATGTCCTTATTATTATTATTTTCTAGGTGGGTGTATTTTACTTTCTTACTTGTTATCATACATGTTATAATGTAACATGTGCCTCTGCATATAGCAACTGCCGAAGCCTGTTGCTTCCCTGAATGAAGACTGCCACAAAAATCATCATATGCTATATCTGTTGCTTAAGTCCATTTTTTAAAAAATTAACAACATGGGCCCTCCCTGGTGGCGCAGCGGGTTAAAGCATTGCACTACGAAACTTAAGCCCCTTCCACGAGTTCGATTCCCGCCTGTCCCGGAGGTGACCACATGGCACGGCAGACCTCTCCTGACCCGCCCGCTGCTCCCCTCAGCACTGTACTTCCTTAATCTGGCCTGTTCTGCTCCCCGCTCTGTCTCTGGTGAATCCTCTCACCCTCCGCATCTCTGGCCTGTACCCCAGTTCTATATGAATAAATAAATCTTTAAAAAAAAAAATAGCAACATGAATAGTTTTAGAATCTAAATATTCATTAGGGTTTTTAACCAGTCACAAACTTATATTCAGTAATCTTATAGCACTGTTGCAAATGTACCCACATTCTTACATGTCCAGCATCAGTGTGTACATTATCTCAACCTTTCTTTTGGTCACTCGTCCTTCTTAAAATGATTCCATTTTGTCGTTCATAGGATTTACAATTTTTATTATGTGAGCCCTTTCACATTTGATTTGTTAGTATCCCATTTTTAATTCTGCTTATATACTTACATTGTTAAGTATATAATTGAAGTCATTCCTCATGTACACATAATATTTTTCTTTTGAAAAATTTTCTTAGTGTGTATTTTCAGAAATAAAATTTCCACATCTAAAGGTACTATTACCTATTACCAGATTACTTAAAACTTAAATCATCTAACTTTTTGTATATTCTTTGACCCAACAATTCTTCTCCTAGAAACATATCTAAGAAACTCTCCTATATTTCCATTAGAACCCAGCACAAGAAAGCACTTTAATGTTATTTATAATAGAGAAAATTAGTGATGACCTTAATAGAGTGAATGCATTTTTGTATGCAATGGACTGTCACTTGGCATTGAAACAAAAGAGCTAGAGCTAATGTAACAGTATGAATCAATCTAAAAAAGTTGTCCAGTAGTTAAAAGCAATTTGCAGGAATTCCTGTATATATACATATATGTGTGTGTGGTAAAGGCAGTCATTACCCCTGGAGAGGAAGAAGAGGCTTCACTTGTATTTGTGATGGTTTTATAATCTGAATGGTCGTACCTGGCCTTTGCTAGCTTACCCCTACATTTTGAAGGGCCTGGAAGGCTTGTCTCTCGTGAACATTGGATTGAGGGAGGGTGGCAGCTCATGCCAATGGTTCCACTGACACAGAGAGTCTTCCTCTCTGAGTTTCAGACACATCTCTGCGGTCTGCTGACTGCAATCTGCTGGCGGGTTTTCATATGAGTTCACAGCTACATTTTCAAAGCGCAGTTTCTCTACAAGAGAGTTATAGGGAGGAAGAAGTGCTTTTCTACACTTTGAGACCCCCATCCTGGCTCACCCCCGCACTTTTGCAGGTCTCGTCCCACGGTTAGGTCCACGCCAGCAGCTCTGCCCTTCCAAGAATTGCTCTGTCATGAAAGAAGGATATGAACCAGTGTGTGCACCAGCACCTCTTTCCAACCACCTTTATTGTTTAGAGTTGTATTTCCTCAGTGTCTCTTCGCTTGCGTGCGGAGATTGTTGGTCTGCAGTGGCCTAGAGATGCTCTAGTTTTGCCCAAGTTACAGGATCCTCTAAGTCCAGTGCCAGCCGGGACTATTTTGTTATTCTCCTGGGAGCAAAGCAGTGAACCTTCTTTATGCCATCTTCCTCCTTGATCAACCAATTTTGTATTCTTTTATTAACTGAAGTGTCATATTCAACATTAAATGATTTAAGCCCCCTTATAGCAATTCCTGATTTCACATGGCTCAATGTACCATTTTGTTTAAAATTTTATATACTCCTAGGCAAAATTGAAGAAGTAGTTCTTGAAGCTAGAACTATAGAAAGAGATGTAAAATCTTATAAGAAGGATGAGAAGTCAATCAATGGAATGCCAAATATCACAGTTGAAATTAGAGAACATATTCAGGTATTTATAGACTCTCATCTTACTATTGTGTTTAAAATTTTTAAGAATATTAGAATTTTGTTCAATGATTTTTTGAAATATTTTCAAGCTCAATGAAAGTAAAATTGTTAAACAAGCTGGAGTTGCCACCAAAGGATTGAATGAATATATTCAAGAAATAGAATTTGAAAACTTATCTCCAGGAAGTGTCATTATCTTCAGGTATGTAGAGTTCATACTGTTCATTCTACTTGTAATTAAAACAGTTTACATATTCTGCTCATTTTGAATAAATTACTACTAAAAATTAACTATTTTTAATTGACATTTTCAGAGTTAGTCTTGATCCACATGCACAAGTTGCTGTTGGAATTCTTCGAAACCATCTGACACAGTTCAGTCCTCATTTTAAATCTGGGAGCCTTGTTGTTGACAACACAGATCCCATATTAAAAATTCCTTTTGCTTCGTAAGTATGCTTTCATTCTAGGGTTGATGCTTTATTTATTTATTTAATTTTTTTACTTAATTTGATTTTTCCTTTTTATTGCAGGAAAATTGGCTTATAATATTGTAGGTGTGCAAGATTACAGTTTCACATCTGATTATGTAGTATATTTTGATCACCAAACGTCTAGCTTTACCTAGGGTTGATGCTTTTATAACTGTTAAGTTACTGTAGCCTGAACTAAGCTGTTTAAAAGGCTGTTAATCCTTGCTATTAAAAAGATTTCCCTTAGGACCAGTGGTATGCAACAACTGTTGTTAACTTTTTGCCCCTTGTTTTAAGTTATTTACATTTTCATACTTATTCTTTCCACTTAAACACATTTTCTTTATAGAGATATATAGATGCAAATACACACATAGATTAATGTATATATACATACACAGTTTTTCTGAGTTACTTGAAACTGAGTTTCATACTTGTTTCTCCATACTTTTTTTTTTAAAGATTTATTTATTTGTGCATACAGAACTGGGGTACAGGCCAGAGGCTCAGGGGCGGCGAGAGGCTTCACCAGAGACAGAGTGGGGAGCAGAACAGGCAGATCGACGAAGTACACTGCTGAGGGGAGCAGCGGGCGGGTCAGGAGAGGTCTGCCACGCCATGTGGTCACCTCCGGGGCAGGCGGGAATCGAACTCATGCGGAAGCGGCTTTAGATTCTCAGTGCTGTGTTTTAACCCGCTGCGCCACCAGGGAGGGCCAATTTCTCCATATATTTTTTAAATGCTAAATATATTCTATTATGTACTCTACCATAATTTATTTAATCACTCTTCATTTTTTGGACATCTAGTTTGCCTGTAGTTATTTCTTGTGTATTTATTTGTATATTTACCTGTGCATAAATCTTTACTCCATTACTAATTACACTTCTATATAATTCCATTACTAATTATAGTATATTGAAGAGTATAGGTTTTCAGATTTAGAGATATGCTTAATTCCAGTTTCAATATTGTCATTGTGATCCTAGATGAATTACTTAGACTCTTTATCTCAGAAAATGGAAAATAGGTTACATAAGGATTAGAGCATAGAGCATGGAACCAGACTACCTGGGTGTGAATTCAACTTTGGATTCCTATTAGCTATAAGAAAGCAAGCCTTGGCAATATAACTAAAGATATCATTATAGTGCCTCTCCAAGTTATGAGAATTACTTATATAAAATACTTAAAACAGTGTTTCACATACAGTGTTTGACCAACCTGAAGATAGTACAACCTTAGGAAAGAAGAAAAAAGAGAAATACAAAAAAAGAATACTACATGATTTCTAAGATAGCTAATTTGTGACTCTTAATTCTCCCTTTCCTGTTTCTCTCTTAGTTTTTTGACTTAAGATAATTAGTGTAAAAAGTTCTTGATGACCCATATAGGAGAAATAAAGGAAGGGGAAAAAAGCTAAGTCCAAACTAGAAAGATTAAAAAAGTGAATCTGTAAGATAAAGGGTATAGCAACCAAACTACTTGAAGTAGTTTTTCTGGAGTTACTAAAATTACTAAAATTTGGCACTGATTATTTCTTTGATATGAAAAAAAGTCACTTGATTATTAAGTATGATTCATCTATTGTTACTTATATATTGTTTACAGAGTGTATTAAAATGCTGATTTCCTAAAACCATGCACTACTAAGACATTTTATGGCTACGATTCAGATTTTACACTTTATTGTTATTGATAGCAAATGACATTATATTTACTAATTCTTTTTATTTTTCTATTTCTCAGTATCGCCTCTAAATTAACGTTGGCTGAGCTAAATCAGGTACTTTACCGATGTGAATCAGAAGAACAAGAAGATGGTGGAGGGTGCTATGACATCCCAAACTGGTCATCTCTTAAATATGCAGGTCTTCAAGGTAGGCAAGTGTAAGAACAGTTAGCTGTTGGGGACTTTTATTTTTTAGGGCTATGTAGTATCTTCTTTATAGAAAGAAGAATATAGGCTCAGAGCTTAACTTCTGAGGTTCAATTGGTTCTAGACCCAATTGTAAACATATGTTTACAATACCACTGGATTCTGGGAAGGAATGCAGACATTTCCAGCAGACAGATGCTGGGGATAAATAGGAAAAGAATCCTGACCTGGAGTTTCACAATCCACAGATTTCTCTGCAGGGAAGTAAGTGGGCAGGGCCCTGGGGAGAGGTGCATAGCCTCTCTGCATCCCTTCTATGAAGGGGCTTCATAACCTCTGGCAAATAACCCTCTCTGTGCTCCAATTTCTGTGTCTATAAAATGTGAATAATATTTTCATAATTTCATCAATTCGTTTCACGATGTGAAGCATATTAGTATATCTAGCTTGTAGAAATCTTTAAAGATTAAATGAGATAAAGATAATTCACTTGGTCCACAAATGGTACTTAATTGAAAGTATAATACGTTCATCTTCTTAAAAAGTTTTTCAATGTATATTTGTTTTATCATACCAAACTCAGAAAAACATACTATAAAGTTATGAGATATGGGAACTTAATATTATCTTGTCATTTTCATCCATCTGCTCAGCAGTATTTTCTTAAAATTTTGTCTAAGAAATTCGGTTTATTACACTTGTATTCCTGATTTTCATATAACTTCCCACCTGTAATGCCTCCTCTTCAACTCTATCTTACTTCTTTAAGAGCCAAATTCAATTCTTCTATTTTCCACAAAGTCTTTCCTTAACTCTTATTTTTCAGAGTAATTTCATTGTTTTCCAAATACCCATTGAATTTACATACTGTACCTTATAATTGGCCTTTGAAATTTATTACCTTACTTTAATAATTAGGATAGTATTTTTCAATGAATCTTTGTTATGGTTAAAAAATGACTTTAGCACCAGACTCCCTGGGTTACATGACAAACTAAACTGAAATAAATTAAATTGAGCCTCTCACTGGTTCAGTTTTTCTCATCTGTAAAATAAAGAATATAGTACCAACCACAAGGGGTTACGTGTAGGGTTAAATGCATTAAGACGACCTAAATTAGACAATGCTTACTTAATAGTACGTACTTAGTGGTGTTTAACTCCACTCAGTACCTTGAATGAGAAAAATGTTTGCTTTTTGGCAGGATCTTCTTTTTTAAGTTTCATACCAAGCACATACCCTTACAAAACCAAGTTCATAAAAAATTCTCAGTAAGTTTTTTCAAACTTTTTATACTATGACATTCTATTTTTTTTTTCAAAAACGTATCTCATTTTCAATACAAAGTGGTTTGTTCCATGAGTAACAAAGAAATGTTTGTGTGTTGCCAGTCTTCAGCAAAATGTGCTCCATTTTCACTCTTGAGTTTTTGAACTACTTCTGCTTGACTGAAAAGACATCATTTTGTGTACTTCTTTTTTGTCCTTTATCTGCCTAAAGTGCCATCCTTTATTCGCTTTACCTTCTCATGGTATGTTTTACTCATGCTTTTTAAATATAATTGCCTTACCTAATTGATTTCTCATTTTAAACTAATTCCTTTTCCCTCTGACAGTTTGATATTTCCAACAGCTTATAGGATATTTCCAGCAGGCTCTTAATAGCCTCACATTAAATCAGATTTAACTACTTCATAGACATTTCTGTCTGCTATTATAATACATATTCAGTCAAATTGGAATTTAGAAATCCATTTTTTTCTTGTCCTTTTATCTTCAATATGTAATTAGAAATTTTGACTTGTGAATTTTTTCTTTATTATTCTTGATAAACCATATTCTTTTTATCTCCACATTCATTGCCCAGTGCTAGGGCTAAGACCTATCTATAAAACCAATGAACCCGTTTCTAATCTCTCGTTCTCTCTTCCACAAATTATTCTATCCTAATAGTCACCATCAGATTCCTTTTGAAAAAACAGTGCTCCGTTATTCAGCAGGACTAGTGTTTATTGAGTAGTATTTGCCTTCCCTGAAAATGCTAGGGTGTGTGGAACATTATTTTATACTGCCTTGGTTTCTGTAACTTTTTAAATATTTTAGAAACTCTGTTTACCAAAGAAGATTGTAAACCCCTTAAGGGAAAGAGCTATATATAATAAGTATATATATATTTAATCTCTCAAAAAATAACATATACATAGTAAAATTAATTAAATTCTAACTAAATAAAGGTGAAAATTAGCAGACTCTGCTATGTATACATAGGAATTCTAACGCTTCCATTTGAGTATTACTTCAGGATATGCCTACATACCTCACTTAGATAATAGTTTGGATTCTTCTCAAAGACTACTATTATTATCACTGTAAATGCTTGCTCTGAAACCGCTTCTATCATTCTATGGAACTCTTGTCTGGATTTTAATGATTCCACCACTTTTCAACAGGGAAAGACATATCAATTTCCTTCCATCAGGTGATTTAGGGCAGGGAAACCATGCCAGTTTTCTTTGATTATCATAACATTAAAATCCAAAGGAGTAAGGCCAGTCCCAGGATTTGATAATCTCAGAAAGCTCTATATAGCTTCTGTCACAGTAATTCCCTCCCTGTCTTTGTATCTTGGCTCAGGCCAGCACTGTACTTATTTCCAACCGTGGGAAGTACCACTGTGAACCATATATACATGCATTGTGTCACCCTTCATTGTTAGAAATGCTCAGCTGCTCAGGCTATGGGGACAAATTGCGTCTGCCTATAATCCGAGCTATTTCTCTGAATTTCCAGGGCTGATGTCTGTATTGGCAGAAATAAGGCCAAAGAATGACTTGGGGCATCCCTTTTGTGATAATTTGAGATCTGGAGATTGGATGATTGACTATGTCAGTGGCCGGCTTATTGCTCGATCAGGAGCTGTTGCTGAAGTAAGTCAAGCAATATTCTAGTCAAAACAAAAAAGCAGGTGCAAAAAGTACTATGTTACTATTCTATAAAAAGTATTTGCACTGTTTTCTAGACTGAAACATTTCCCTCCCTTCATCATCTTTCAGCTCTAATCTGGTTGGTAGACTACTAGATAGTAGAGTTGCATGTTTGGATTTGCCTCTTAAAATACACCTAGCCTGTAAGCACACCAAATTAACTTGTAAAATTATTTTTATAACAGGTTGGTAAATGGTTGCAGGCTATGTTCTTCTACCTGAAGCAGATCCCACGTTACCTTATCCCATGTTACTTCGATGCTATATTAATTGGTGCATACACCACTCTTCTGGATATAGCATGGAAGCAGATGTCAAGGTATATCCAACAAAGCTTGAGTAAATAGGCATGTTTGTGCAGAAACCAGAGTCAGCTTATACCCTATTAAAAGTCATAACATGAAGAATTCTCATAGATTCATAAAGCAGAAAAGGTTTGTAAGTGAATGGTAAATTTATTAGCATCTTTTAATCTAAAGCATAACCAAAAATGCTTAGATATTAAAATTTAGTCTATTCGCCTACAAATACATGTGGATAAAAAAATTTTAATTATTGTATATTATTTGTTTCTGTTTATTCACTGCCATAAGTTAATGGATACAGTTTTAAAATATATATTCATATATATACACAGTTCTTTTCTAATTTTTCATTCAGAAAAAAAGTTTCTGCCATTATTATAAATGAAATTTGCATTAAAGAAAAATTTCCTAAAATGAAACCACAGGTCAGAATGTACCATTGAAGACTGACCAAACTGATTTGAGTTTAATTTCAGAAAGACAAAAATCAAGCCATGGATTAAAAACAGAGCACTGGGTGAAGTGAAAGCAGTTCTGAAATTTAAATAAATTGAAATATTTTTCAGCTATTATCATCGTTAGACATTTGTGTAGAGAGATTATATGAAGGGGCAAGTAACACAGCTAAAAAGCTTTTAACCAGTGGGTAAAAAGTATCACTTACACAAGGTAATAAATTCTAGAGATCTGCTGTGAAACATCATAGCAGTATTCTATATAATAAGGCATTAATAATATATAATGCTATAACAAAATGACAAATACAATATGCTTAAAATCTGATAAGAGGGTATTCTTACCACAATAAATAAAATTATTTAAAAGCAATACTAAAATATGTTGTATTCCTCCAAACAATATTTTAAGCTCTACTACTTTTATTGCAGCTTTGTCCAGAACGGTTCTACTTTTGTGAAACACCTTGCACTGGGTTCAGTCCAAATGTGTGGCGCAGGGAAATTCCCTTCTCTGCCACTTCTTTCACCTTTACTTTCGGACGTGCCCTATCGGCTCAATGAGGTCACAAAAGAAAAGGAGCAGTGCTGTGTGTCTATAGCTGCAGGTAAGAAAAGGAGCAGTGCAGATGTCTATAGCTGCAGGTAAGAAGTTCTGTACAAGGTTAGTGTGTATATGTCGACTTTATTCAAAGAGGAAAAGTTAGGGGAGGATGATTATTTAAAAACAGGCGCAATAATGTTATCCAAGATTGTGTGTTACTGCTTTGTAAAAATTACATGGATATTCAAGTATAAAAATAATAACCTTCCTTACTAATTAATGCACACATTACTGCATTAGGCATTTACTTATATGCTCCTTATTGTGACTGGTTAATCCTTTCTGTCATGTTTCTATTTTTTCCAATTCTTCTTATAGTTTTTCACTTTTTTTTATTGAGGTAATGTTGATTTTCAACAGTGTATATGTTTTATGGGTATAGGTTCGCATATCTTCAATTGTGCATTACCACACCACACCCACCACCAAAGCACCAATAACCTTCCACTGCAGTCCATTCAGTTCCCTTCCCCTTTCTTTCGATTTCCCCACTCTGGTAACCTCAGTTCTGCTGTGAGATTTCAAGGATTTGTTTTTGTTTGGTTTTATCTTTTCCTTTGCTCTAATTCTTTACATACCACATGTACATGAAGTTATCTGGCATTTCTCTTTCTTTTCATCTAGTTCATCCATAGTGTCACAAATGGCTCGAAATAATGTTTGGTTTTTGTTTTTGTTTTTTTATAGCTGAGTAGTTTCCGTTGTATATGTATACTGTATCTTCTTTTTCCATTCATCTACCATTGGACACAGTTTTTTTCCATTTTGGCTATCATAAGTAGTGCTGCAAAGAGTGCATGTACCCCTTCGTGTTTTATATTCTTCGGAGAGATATCTAGAAGTGGAATTGCTGGGTCACACGGTAGATCTGTTTTAATATTTTCAGAAGTTTCCATGCTCTTTTCCATGGTGACTGAATCAGTGTACATTCCCACCAAAAGTGTTCCTTTTTCTCCATATCCTCACCAACACTTGCTATTTTTGGGTTTTTTGATAGGAACCATTCTCACAGGTGTGAGGTGATACTCATTGTGGTCTTGATTTTGCATTTCCCTTGCAATAAGTGGTGATGAACGTTTTTTCATGTGCCTGTACCATTGTATTTCTTCTGTGAAGAAGTTATTATTTAGCTCTGCCCATTTTTGATTGGGTTATTTGTTTTCTTATAGGGCTGCTGCTGTATGAGTTCTTTGTAGATCTTGGGTATTAGACTTCTGTTGGATGCACAACAAGATTTTTTCACTTTCCTACTTTTATTATTTTATACTTCTTTCCTAATTTTAAAAAATTTCCCCAACTAATAATGTAAAGGTCCTCTACAAGTTCCAAAATACAAAATAAATGTTAAACAAATTTTTGTTATGAGTCTAATTGTAGTAAATGCTTTCAGCCGTATTTATTGGCATCATTTCCTGCAAATATAATTAAAATCTGAGTCAAATAAACAAATCTAAATAAGCAAAATAGGAAAATGACAATTTTTACTTTCTGATAAATCTGAAATTATTTTGAGAAAGCACTTAGTATTTGAGGCCGCTGAAATTTAGAACTTTCCAAGCTAAACCAATTAAATTGCAGGATGATAGTAATAGTTTTGTCTATGTGATTTCCTCTGTAACCCTTATATTTGCATCACTCAAACAAAAAAGCAAGAATGGGTATCAACAACTGAAAAAAGACATTAAGTTTTCATTTAGAGTGATGAAATGAACCTTAGTGTTTTAAATATATAATTATATTTTAGATTTTCACTCAACTATTTGCTTTTATTTTGATACTTATCTTTTCCCTGTGAGTCCTTGTAGACAGATGCTTATAAACCCAAACTCAGCCATTGTGAGGGGGAAAAAATGGCATGCAGAATTTCATTTTAAAACCTACTGTTTGGAATCCTATTGCATAAAGTAGAGATTCAGCATTTTTTATTTTACACTGTTATTAAGCCTTCCTAAAATGGTTGTATTGATACACTGAGAACATAAGTGATAACCTGTATAAGTTATAGTATCTGGTATATTTATACATCGAGTATACTGTAATGCAAACATAGTAATTAAAAGGTTAAATTGATAAATATAGAGAGAGAATTTAAGTTATTTGCTTTTAACATTCTAAGGAAATGTTTTCTGTAGTCTATATTAACAAAATAAGGAGCTACATACAGATTTGTAGATAGGTTTTGAAATCTGGCTTTTTTTTTTTTTAGTAAATATCCTTTTTAAAGATTTATTTACTTATTATACATAAAAACTGGAGTATAGGCCAGAGTTGTAGGAGGTGAGCGGATTCACCAAACCAGAAAAGGGGAATTTATCAAAGTACACTGCTAAGGAAATTCTGTAACATTATTTTGGAGATAATCTAGAAAGAAGTTTCTAATGTTACTTTTAGTTGTGATCTTTCTTAACAGAAGCAGATGAATCTCTAATCTCCAAGAAAATGAAGACAAATAAGTAGAAACAAACTGAAGTATAGGAACTGCTAAAAATGTCTTTTTTCTTAGTTCTTTCACCTATCACTTTTTTATTTACTTTTTATGCCTCCTCTTTTATTTCATTCCATCAATTTTTATAGTGGTATTTTTTTAATGTACCAGTTAGTTTTCAGTGATAAATATACTTTAGTAAGGCAGATAAGGTTTCTGTTATTGTGGATCTTATTTCCTTCTGGAGACAGACATCCAGTAAGGCAGAATATAAACAGTATGGTATAGTGTCATGTGTTTAGAAGATAGTTTTATATTTTAGCTTCTTTCCTTTTTTTTTTTTTTTTT